AGGGAGGAAGGAAGGAAGGAAGGAAGGAAGGAAGGAAGGAAGGAAGGAAGGAAGGAAGGAAGGAAGGACCAAATGACTTATGGGCTACATATAGGGGCCAGAGCTTCCTGGCAGTTGATGGGAAAAGGGAAATGCCTCATTTACATGTTTGCTAGATCTGTGAGATAAAGATTAAAGCATGCGTCAAGAAACATCTGGCTATTCCTGACTGATACTGAATCCAGCCTGATTCCGCTCATGGTAGGTCTCCAGAGAGCTATATACCACCAGGAGGCACAGCCTCAAGATCGCCTACCTAATAAAACCCAAGGGTAAGTTTGATGGGACTGAGTCCTCGGGCACCCTCAATGTGGGCACTATGCCAACATGTACTTCAGCCCGCATGACCTTCTAGAGGGAATCCAACGGAGCCGGGCCTCGGCCCCTGTTGCCCCGGGGTTCTGGGCCTCCAGTGCTGATCCCTGGAGCCACGCCCAACGCAGCTGCAGCGCAGTGAGGGGCCTTCTCTGTGCCGTCCAGTCCTCAGCAGGCCTACCGGGGCCCCACAACCCGTCCCCAGCACGCTCGCCCACAGAGCCGCGGGTCTTCCACTCTACACCATTAGCAGAGCGCTGTGAGCTCTGTGTCCCCAGGGCGGGCCACTCCCATGTCCACAGGTGATGTCCTTGGGGACACCCCTGGGCATCGCAAGCCTGCTTGAGACTGGGGCCAGGGTGTGGGTCTCGCTGCTGTGGCTTTCTAGCTAGACTTCAGCTAGGACCGGAACCTCTGCAGGACTCGGTTGTCCCCCTGTGAGACAAAGCCCGCGAATCTCCCAGACCTCTGGGCTGTGAGACCCACACGACGCTGGGCGCAGGGTCTTGAAGCAGGAGCCGTGAGGGGAAGTCTTGGGGGCTGCTGCCCCATGACGGGCAGTACTGGCCCGGAATCGTGGGAGCAGAGGGCAAAAGATGCACCACGGCCGGGGCGTGCTCCTCGGCCCCGCGTGTGTGGCTGGGGACAGGGTGTCCTGCCTGCAGAGAGCTCGCCCACTGGCCCTGGAACAGAGGGCACCTCACTGTCCTGCCCTTCCGCCACGGGCCAGCTGGGCGCCAGGGTCCCAAGGCCGACCTGGAGAGGGCTTCCCCAGCGGGGGGGAGAGTGACTGACCTCCGAGCCCCAGGACAAGGCCCCAGTGTGTGCCCAGCTCCTGGGGAGGGATGAGTCAGAGGCCAGTCCCCGTCCCAGGCCGGCCTGTGGTAGGCGGGGCTCTGCCCCAACACTGGGCCAGCGGAAAGGCCCTGGTTTCCTGTCCCCCCCACTGCCACCCACCCAGCAGCCACAGCCAGAGTCGGAATAGTACCGAGGCCCCACCTCCTGGACACCAGGGCCGCCCGGCCGCCCAGCCTCGGGGACGGAAAACATCCACAGGAGCCAGAGCCAGCTGCGGCCGGCCGCCAGGGAAGGGGCCATCTGTCCCGCATCCCCGGAGTCCACTCACCTGCAGGAGGCTCACCTGGCCCGGCGGGGTGAGGGCTGGGGGTGGGGAGGCTGGGACACTGGAACCCACCTGAGCCTGAGGGGCTAGGGGAGCTTCAGTGCCAACACCCAGAGGTGTCCCCAGGCCTGGCTCCCACTGAGGGCGGCTCACCGCCTGCCAGGTGCCATGACCAGCTCCCCAGGGGAGGAGCCTGAGCCTGTCCCCGCAGGAGCAGGGCCCTGCTTCCACCTCAGTCCGAGGACTTGCCTGAGAGCGAGAGTGTCCCCCGACCCTGGGATGCTAGAGGAGAGGGCAGGGACAGCCAAGACCAAGGGAGCCACCAAGGCCCCAGGACACACTGGTGCCCTCTCGACCTGGGCATTCCCCCCCCCAACCCAGAGCCAGCTCACCCAACAGCTGCTGCCGTCTCCAAGGACCATGTCCCTGGGAGTCAGCTGGTGGCCCTCCCTGGCCCGTGGATGGGTCTGTGCCATCTCGCCACTGCCCAGCTGAAGCTCAGGACTCTCACAAATAAACGTGGTCACAGGCACAGCCACTGAGGAGCAGCCGCCCAGACACGCCCTGCTCCCCACTCAGGCCTCGGGCTCTGACCAGGGAGGCCAGGAAGGCCAGCTCCCCAGCCAAGAGGGCGCAGGCGCATGTCTTATGACCACCAGCCCGACGCAGTCTGGACCGGAGCACTGGCTCCCTGCTCCCTCGGTCCAGACCCTGCCACCAGCCCAGGCTGGTCCCAAGGACATGCCTGCACCAGGCTGCCGGCAGGCTCATCCTGTGGCCCCTCTGTTTCCTGAGTGACAAGGCTCCGCCCATCAGGCACGAGGCCAGCAGGATGATCACCTCTGCCGACATCAATGGGGACACCCATAGTAATATAAACTGGCAGCCGTTATCCCAGAGCCTGGCACCTGGGAGGGACTGTCACACCTCCCCTCCGTGGACCCTCGCAGCCTGAAGCCTCGGGTCCTCTGGCTGCAGCGACTGCACAGGAGGGTTAAGTGACAGCTCAGACGGGCCGGGGCGAGAACTAACCCAGGAACTGGGGCGCCACTCTGAGGTCCTCACCTCCTGAGACGCTCAGAACACCCACTCGGCTCTCCTGACCCCGCGTGGGAAAGGCTAGGAGTGCAGCAGAGGGAGCGGGCACCAGACCCGGAGTCCCTGAGCCCCTGAGCCCCTGAGCCGGCCACCCCGGCTCCCAGGACTCACAGGAGATGGAGCACAGAAAGCTCTCAGCAAAGTGACCGGGCACAGCAATCACTCAGAACGGCAGTGGCAGCGGACGCTGTCATTTCCTCTCCCTCGCAGAATCCTTGAAGGAAGCATCAGAGACCCCCACACACCAGCCTTCCCCAGGGCCCAGCCTGGAGTGCCTGGTGCCTGCAGGACTGAGGGAGCGCTCCTAAAAACTCCACACCACGGACTCCAGAGAAGGGACCGTGGGCACGGCTGCCCGCCCCATCCCCGCAAAGGACACAGCCTTCCCCTGCTCCCAGCCCACGGGCTTCCAGCTCTAATCAAGAAGCAAACACAAAGAAGGGATCTCTAAACATTTAGAAAACGCGGGAACCCTGTGCCCCACGCGGCACCGTGGGGATTTATAAAGAACAAATCATGCCTGACAAACTTGATAGCTTTCTTGATAGAATTACAAGACTGGTAGATGAGGGAAATGCAGGCAGGGTAATATATCTTGATTTTTAGCAAAGCATTTGATACAGCGCCTCGAGTAATCCTACCAAATTAATTCAAACAGATCTGGCCCTAAGCACTTGTCATGGGTCCTGAAAGAAGGAGGGGGTGGTCCCGAGGGTCCTGGGTGGGGAAGCGGGTCCAGGGGGAGGGGGCTGGAAGGCGAGTCCAGGAGTGGGGGCAGGGCGCCGAGCGAGCGAGCACTGGATCACATCTTATCTAACATCTTCATTAATGATCCTGAGAGAGGGGAGTAAACAGTCCGTTAATGAAATTTGCAGAGGATATTAAATTGGAAGGTGTCGTGGACACCAGTGAGGACAGCAAAGCGGTCCAGAGAGACCTGGGGGCAGAACCCTGGCAGGAAGCTGAGGGCTGGCGGGGGGGGGGTTTGCTGGGTGGCAGCCGGAGCCACTTGGAGAGCCCAGGAAGAGAGAGGGGCCACCCAGGGCCAGTGTGGAGCTGGGAGAGGCTGCAGCTAGCTTAGATCTGCCCAAATCTTCCTGGCAACAACAGGAATCTCAGTGTCTCCTCTGGTTCACAGAGGAAGGGCCAGGGCCAGCTGATGCCCAGGGTGCTCTGCCTCCCTGACAGCCGGGTGATGGAGCGAGCTGGAGCTTGGAGCTGAAGCCCACCGTGCAGGAGGTGGAGTCTGCAGGCCAATGGGGGGCTGAGTGAGAGACGGGGGCTGGGGAGAGACTGGCTGGGCCCCCCGTGCTGCTGGGGAAAACC